CAAAGAGAATATCTAAAAATAAATTATTCAGGAGCCTGACAACGCAAAAAAGGGTGAAATTGATGTTCGCATTAAATACATCAATGACTCACCAAAAATCATAAAGGCACCAACTCATTAAAAAAACTAGAATCTGCCTACTCTGTGGAAATCTTTTTCTGGTATACCTACCAATTTGAACTCCATAATGACAAAGATTAACATGTGGAAGGCAAATATCCAAATGTTCTCACCAACTATTATTCTGGTAACAGAAACATGGCTCCACGAGATGATTCCAGATAGCTTGTTGCAAATTTTGGGATACACAATGTACAGAAAAGATGGGTCAAATAAGAAAGGAGAGGGCATTTGTATATTTGTCCGCAGCTCCATTCTGTGCCACCATGTTCAATCTTCAATGAGCCCTATATATTTTACAGCCGATTCTGTAGAATCAATATGGGTTGATGTTTTAATAGATGGTCAGCCTATGCTTGTTTGTTGCATATATCGGCCTAAACTGCAAACCAAGTAGAAGACTATCTAAAACTTATAGGTAAAAGTTATAGAACAAGCATGCAACATTGGTATATCTTCTTTCATTTTTAGAGATTTCAACTACACAAAGATCAACTGCAAAACATTGACAGTCAATCCGAGAGTCAATAATCCCACAAATCCATGTAGCTCAGATTTCATAACTGCTGTTTTCGTTAAATTCGAATTTGTTAAGGTTAAAGGGAACCTCACCTCGATCGAGAAATTATGGGCTTTATGTTTCAAATAAAGGATTTTCTTGGTTGTGCAAATAAATATCACATACAAAAGACTTTTTTTATAACATTAATGAACGTGAAAAAAGCATTATTGTGACTCAAAACTAAAGTCTCTGAAGAGCCCAAAAAATGGCTCCCTTTCGCGAGTGTGTGTGTGTAGAAAAAGAGACCCCTTCCAAGTCCTGTGGTCCTTATAACTGTGCCCGTCTTGCTCAGTATTCCTACGCCCAATCGCGAACCACTTTTTTTCAACTTCCTGTTACTACTCGCTACTTCTTGGCTTTTACTTTCTACAATTTTGCTGTGGTTCAGACACCACTCGACTTGCGATTATCCAGTGCGCGGCGTTGCCACGTTTACAAATAAGAAATTGAAATTTAAACTTTTTTAAAAATGTCATAACTGCCTACAAGGAAATCAATGCCTTTCAATGTGTAAATTTTTCAAAAAGAATAAGAAGAAATGAACAATCTCTACTTGATCTGCTATTAATCAGACAAGAGGCTTGCTTTTCATATATCACAGCATCCTCCAATTAGTCCAATTGGACTAAGATTTTGGATCACAGACTATGAACTTATCGACACCCATCTACAGCAAGAAATCTCCAGCATCACTGCTAACTATGAGCGGGTCATCCACAATCAGCTCTTTTATTCCACTCAAACTGAAGATTTTCAATCCCCAGTATTCCCCAGAAATCTTCGCCGACTCACAAAATTTTTAAACTCATTGAAAAAAGGAGAAATTTGTGGCACAAGAAATTGAACAGCAACTCTGGAAATGACAGCTTGAACTACACGAACCAAAATAACTTCCTCAAAGCCAAGATAAAATAGTCTAGAAGGAAATATGAACCAGAGTTGCTAGCCTCTTCTGATAAGCAGTTTTATTCCTACATAAACAGATGTCTTGGTTCAAGACTTACCTACACATTTCTCAGTTAGAGATGTAACCACTAACTGCACCCTTAATAATGAGAAAGAATTTGCCATTTTGTTTGCCAAACTGTTTTAGAGTGTTTTTACAAAAGAATATCTGAGCCATATGGCCAACCTGAACCCTGATATATTCTGTGATAATTCACGTGAAATTGTAACTTTTACACCTGGAAATTGGAGAATGCACTCAGATCACTGAAGCCAGATTTTAGTCCAGGAGAGGATGAAATCCCTGCCATTTTCCTGAACAAGTGTGCTGCAATTCTGTCACATCCTCTCTCAGACATGATGAACAATCTTCTTAGGCAGGGTAAACTACCAAAGGAATTTAGGAATGCAATTATTGTATTTAGTGTCTATTTACAAGAAAGCGAGCAAGAAAGGCAAAAAACACCTGCCTGAAAACTATAGGCCCATTAGCTTAACAAGCACCCTTTGCAAATGCATGGAGAAAGTCCTGGTATGAGATGATTGGATATTTGCTCGGAAATGGAATCATCCAACCTTTTCAGCACTGGTTCCTTTCTGGAAGGTCCACTTTGCTGCTGACAAGGCCCTCTACTTTTCCTTGTATACATTAGTGACCTGCTAAATGGATTGAGGAGTCAGATGTCATTTTCGGATTATACCTGTTGTTATAGTAATTTTGTAACGCAGAATCATTGAGTTAGGATGGTAGGGAGATGCGATCACGTGGTCGAAAGCGGATCCAGGTCCGCCATATTCATACGAACCTTACGTCAACGAACTGTCACTTGGTTGTCTGATCAAGTTTTTGGGTTTTTTCTTGCCTTTTGTACTTTCGTGTGATATTTTGAACAATAATGACAATAATGGTTTCATATGCCCTTCGTAGCTGCAATAGCAGGCATGCAGTTGATAAAAAGAAATCGACCGGAACAACATACCGCAGGTTAGTAGACAAAATAATAACAATAAACAGGGAAGTATTTCAAAAATGTACTTCTCTATTTCTTTATTTGAATAGTTTCTGGCTTTTATCCCGTCAATTCCTATTATTCTGTTCCAAACTTGAAAAAATGCATTCCCAATATACGCGTCCTCAATTAAAAGAAAAAAATCTTTTACTCAAAATTTAGTATAATCAATTCTTATAAATTTAGACAGGCCGGACCTGGCCTGGCATCCATATTGTTATGACTATTAGCCACGCTCAATGCGCCGTTTATCTCCCCACGAATTAATACTTATAGCGTTTCCCTACCATCCTAACTCAATGCGCAGAATGGAAGCCTCCAGGGGCTTTATTCTCGAACTCGAAACCGAGAAACAGCGTTCTTATGAGAACGATTGCTCTGTCATTGTCAATGTAATGGAAATATGAATACGGGCGACGAAGACAGAACCTTCGTTCTCATGAGAACGCTGCTACCCTGTTTCGAGAATGAGGTCTCAGGGGGATATAGATGCCATCAAATAGTGGACCACCACCTGGCCAAAAACAATCCCAGGATGCAATACTTCATTGGGTCTACCCAGGTAATCTGTGTTGCTGAACAAAATGATTTTGGAATTGTAGTCATTGAAGATATGATGTGGAAAACCCATATCAATGGCATCATAAAGAAGTCAAACTCCATCATGTAACTGATTTCCAAGGCATTTAAAAATCCTGCATCCCAAATGTTTGTAAAGCTGTACAAGGCTTACATAAGACCCAGGTTGGAGTCCTCCCAGCCCAAAGCATATGGAGTCCTTATTTTGTCAAAGACCTTGAAGCACTTGAAAAAGTCGAACGCAGAGCAACAAAAATTTCCCCATCTCTTCGTGACCTTCCATACCAACAAAGGCTGCAGAGGCTAAACCTGCCTACACTTTCTGTCAGACAAACGTGTGGGGATCTAGTGGAGTCATTCAAAATAATTAGTGGACACTACAAGTTCTAGTTAAGTCTGTTTAAGTTCAGTAGCATCTAAGGGGTCATAACGAGAAATTCTGTAAGGAGAAATGTACGAGGCTTTTGTGTAGATATTTTTTGTCCAATTGAGAAGTTTATAATTGGAGTCTAAGGTTGGAACACTGTAAATGCATCTTTAGTCAACCTGTTTGAAAACAGACTGGACATTAAAATGGCTGAATGGACAAGATCAGTTGTGCACTATACAAATTAATATACATATGGATAAATAGACATTTTAACAGTGCTAGGATAGTAACCGACTCAATATCATAGTCTCATCGGTATATCACCGCTCACCATTGTTAACTAATAATAATAATAATAATAATACTAAATTCCACGAAGCAACCATATTTTCTCCTTGAAATACATTCAGTGGCTAAACATGAATGAAAGAAATTTGAATTGATTGAGCCAATACTTGGTGAAAATTGAAATCCATGGTTGGGAAAACTAAAACTAATTTTTACTATATTTTCACTGTTTATTTACACACTAACATGTTTCGCTAAGAGTCTGATGAAGCTTCAGTGTATCGAAACATGTTTCTGTGTACTTGAATAGTGAAAATATTGTAAAAATTAGTTTTACCGAGAGTTTTACTTTTCCCAACCATGAATAAAAAAAGATGGGTGCATCTATGCATTTCAATAAACAAGCTAATTTTGGCTAAACACCCCAGATATCTGTACGCAAAGATGGAATTCTGAGGTATGACCCATGCATGCAAGGGAACTTAGACATACTCCAGTTTCTTTAACAATCCCCTTCCATAGTCCTGAACTTTTTAAAAACAGTTTTTTCTAAAAAGCAGCAAACATTTATCACCAGTTACCATCAGATATCAAAGCTTTACCAGTTTACCAGCTTTTAGAAACCATATAGTATAGTAAACCAAAACTCTTAATGGTGATTTCGCAGTATTTCAATATTGCGATCTCTATTAAAAATTTTCTTTTTTGTTGTCTCTGAGTACCTACTACCATATTATTTGTTCCCAAGTTTGTAGTTTATGCGTATTTTTGTATGTTCAAGTACTTTCAAATTTGGTCAACCATTTTCTTTGAAATTGTAAAAAAACCCATTCTTTGTAAACTTTTTATTTGCAAAATAAACGACTTATTGATATTATTATTATAATGCAAATGGATATTTCATGTTTTGTACATTGATTGGGCTTGTACAGAACAAAGAAAACATATTGAATAGCAGTGTTTTAGCTCTATAAACACTAAACAGTGCCTGATAAATTCGAAAATCATTTTCTGGTTATGTTGTTTATAAAAACAAACACTGAGGGATCTCTCACTGCCCCTCAACCCACTCCAGAGAATATGAATAAATAATACCTATGTATTTAATTTTGATTTTTTTTTGTAGGAAAACCCTTCAAAACATCCAATAATAATACTAAAAGACGTCGCCTACAGTCATCTACAAGCGATCTTAGAGTTCATGTACGCTGGCGAGGTAAATGTGAGTCAAGAGCAGTTACCAGCTTTCTTGAAGACCGCCGATAGACTTAAGGTTAAAGGACTTGCCGAGGCGCCACAAGCTATTAAGAGGGAATAAATTGCCTTTACTTAATATTTTTTTTATTTTTCAGCAGGTAAGATGCAGGACGGTAGTATAATACTCATGTACAATAGCCCTAGAAATTTTTTTGACATGTCTTTATATAACCTAAGTGCTATTGTACGTGTATTATTTTATTATTTAGAGAAATGCATTTTTGTATAACTTTTAATTGTTTAATATAAGTATTGGACATAAACTTGTACAATATAAATTTATGTAATTTTTAATTTAAATAAGTTAGGACTAAGTTGACTTGTGATTGATTAATCTGGCCTGCTGAATATGGGGCATTTGGCCTACTATTGCAAAAAATTATTTTTATGTGGGTTTTGAAGGAAATTCAAAAAATAAACTCGATTTTTCATGTACAAACTTCAGTAATTATTCTATTTGCTCTCCCAGAAATCAGTAGGCCAAGTACCCAACCAAAAGTCTTAAAAAAAAAACAGTAGATAAATATTGCTAGGCATTACATAATATTATTATAATAAATTTAAAGAAAACGAGAAAGTTTTCATGAGCAAGATAAGTAATGTTTTTTCTTAAATATTTTAATAGCTTTGTTACAACCTACAATAAAATGTTCAGGGTAGGATCTTTACCAATCCTATGAATAAATATTTGAAAATGACGAACGATTCTCATTTGGGTTGGAATAACGCTAAGGTTGTCAATTTTTCTGATTGTTTTGGTGATTTTTTACAACAAAAGTAAGTCCAGACTGAAGAATATAAACTTAGCTGGTATAGATTTTCTGCAAAAGTAACTCAAAATATAGAGTGTTTTGAAAATATATCCAGAAAAACTCATTTTTTTCAAAGAAAAATTTCCCGTTATATTTTTGGAACACTTTGTATATCTATTTTTATAATATGGTATGATTTTTCATAACCACATAACTGTATAATATAACATTTTATTTTTTTTGGAATAGTACCAATGTTTAGTTGATTACTGGAATAAGTACTTTATTCAAGGATTCAATAATTGTTTCCTTATTTCATAAACTACTTTTTTTCAGACCTTTTCAAAGAAGATTTATTTTATTTGTTACAGTTGAGACAAACCAGTATAGGTATCAAAATTGAAGAAAATTGAAAAATTTAAAATAAAGCTTCTTGAATCAATTACTTTTCGCAATTTGTTTTTTGTTAAGACGTGAGAATATCTTCAATAAAGCTGAACTATTCTTTTTATTTTAACCATTTTTGTGGGAATATAATATGAGAGTTTTTTTTAATGAATGATACAGTGTTTGATTTCCTACCATATGATCCGATTGGCATTTTTGTTCTGCTGTCCAAATGCTGTTCATGAGAGCTCTAGAACATTAATTACAACACAATTTTGCTGGAATTACTACCTATCTTATTACCTAACATAATTTTGTTCCATTGAGAAATCTTATTTCGTTTCGAAATATGATTTTAGCTTGTTTTCAACAGAATTTAGGAGAGAATGTGAAAATTTTCATCAAGGATATGTTCTGCTAACAACCAATAACACAAGAATTCATTAGTTGCAGTCGTTGCAGAAAAGCAGCATGTTGGTGGAAATTATCTTCTCTACTTGAACACACACAAAAAGAAACAAATATCTAAATAATTACAGTAAATATTCAAAAGACAGCTTTCCCTGTATGCATAAATATGGGAAATCCGAGCAAACAAAAATCCATTTACCGTTTGCTGTCAAGTTAAACACCCGCCCTTCAAAGCCAAAAAATAATACTCGCCGTGGTGCCAGGAATAAACTCACTCATTTCCCCCTGAACTAGAATATACATTTCAAGCTTTTATACAATGTGCCCATCAAAAAATGTATTTCGTATACTCTTATTTCATTCCAAAGCATAAACATATTTCTTGCTTCGCTTTACCTAATGCTTCTTACCTGTTACATTATCCATTATTTTATAAATTCGTGAAAAAAAAATAAATAAAAAAAAATAAAGCAAATCAATCATCGAGAGTATCTAAGGAATTTCTCTTTCCCCCAAGTTTTCTTTTCCTGTGAAAATGAAAATTGACCTAAAATTTTTATCAGATGACATATGATTCATATTACTAAAAAATAGTTCTTTGTTTTACTAGGCATTAAATCTGATTTTCTGCTGTGTGAAACATATCATTTTCGAGACAGGAGTTTGAGGCCTTTGCTGATATCCTTTGGATACTTTCTGTCTTTTCTTTATTTTGCTCGTCTTGTTTCTATAGATCTCTTCAATACAGTTGATTATTGGCATTTTCGATAGCTTCCCAAAATTTCAGCTGAGGTGAGCTGTCTTATGGTTTTCTGAGATTTATGTCCCCTTTTCCTCTATTATCTACCCGCTCTAAATCCCTCCTGTTATTCGACCTCCCTATCCCGATACTCGTCCTCAACACTCTTCTGTGGTGCACATTACTGCAATCCTCTGACAGTTATCTCTCTGTACTTCCCTGTCTATGAATAGTTGTTATATCCCTACTTACGATGTTTTCCATTTTTCAGGTAGGCTTTTCCATTAGGGCATTTTTGGTAAAGGCTGATAGTGATAGTATAAGTGTAATATCTCGATTGAGAGTTAAATAAATACTTTTATTTCAAATATATCACATTTTATTTTTATCACAGATTTAAAGGTATGTTGATAGTTTGGAGGCCGTTGCAGAAGAGGGCGAAAGTAATTCTTTTTGTTCGCGAGCGCGCAGTCTATCACGCATGTGCGTATAGCCTAATTGGTCGAATTGACCTCGGGTTATTATCCTACAGGGAGGGACTCGATATAATCATATAATGTATATGACACTCCCCCACTTAAGTGGATTGTGAAACATTTAGAATAAGTTAAATATAACTCTTTATAAATCGATTAACTGATTTCACTTATTAAATGCTTCACATATTAATTCCCTATTTTACAATTCTTACAAATGTTGAGAACAACTATATAATGAATATAATGAAAACAAAAGATAAATCATTCTTTATGAGTGTGCATTGAGTGTACATTAGTATGAAACAAATACAAACATGTTAAAATACATTTACAAATTAACATTTAGTCAGCTCTTCTGCAACTAGCTAAATTATTAGCATTACATTTTACATAAATCCTTAAAAGGTTAGAATTAGGCGGTATTTACGACTGAAATCTTATACAATTTAAAAAAAAAAAAAAACACAGACGGACTTGCAAACAAATGACCAGAATAACGTTTTAAAGTTACAATTATTTGATTTGGACAAGAAAGTTAGTTTCATAACTAGAGAGATATTTTGGCATTATGACTGCCCTTTTTGGTCTTCCCAGGTCAGGAGCAACTTGTGACGCTACCTCCTCCTCTTGGGGTCTCTTGTCTTTTGCAGCTGGCATAGGCTCAGTTCTGCTTGCACTTGTACTGGGCATTTGGTTGCATCCGCTGCTTGTGGATGTGGGCTCTACTGTTTGGTCATCTTCGATGCTCTGAAAAGAATTTTCCAAAGAGTCACTGTTGTCAGACTGAATTTCATTGTTAGTATTATTTGATATTTCATGATCAGAACTATTATTTGATTCAAAAGAAAATGAGTCGTTTCGCACTGGAGGTTCAACTCTCTCCTTCTGGAGGTATATGGTACGACTAGTTGAAGGTAAGTTAATATGAAAATCGTCTGGTTTGTTTTGATTTATGTTAGGTTTGTTATTTGACAAATTTTTAAGGTTTTTATCTACGGAGTCTTTATTTGTGGAAGAAAAATGCTTTGTTTTATCTGACAAGAAATTTTGGATTTGATTTGCATGTCTTTTTACAATGTTTCCCTTGTTGGTTTTACACAAGAATGTAGTTCTGCCTATTTTCTTTTGTATTATGGCTTCTTCCCAGCCTCTGGTGTTGTTTTTGTATGTTCTTGCATAAATGTTGTCTCCCACTTTAAAATTTCGTTGTACTCCTCCATAATATTTCTTCTGGGTTTCTTGTGCCTTTATTAAACATTTTTTGTTATCCGTAATTTTCTGCTGAGTTTCCTGCCTGTTTACTGTATTTTCATGCATTACTGACAGTCTGGTTCTGGGTTTTCTGCTAAACATAAGTTCGAAAGGACTTTTTCCTGTTGTGCTGTGTGGTGATGTTCTATATGTAAATAGAAATCTTGCCACAATAGTTGAAATTGATACATTTTTATTTTTCGGATCTGCCAATGCTGTCTTAAGTTTGTTTTTGACTAATTTGACTGTAATTTCCGCAGCTCCATTTGATTGGCTGTGGTATGGTGGTATTGTAATGTGTTTTATGCCATTTGTTTTAAAAAAAATTTGTAAGGTTTCTGAAGCGAACTGAGGACCGTTGTCACTCACAACAGTTTTAGGTAAAGAAAATCTGGCAAAAATATGTCTAAGACAATCTTCTGTTGCTTCGGCTGTTGTTTTAGTCATTGGAAAAACTTCTATCCATTTTGAAAAAGAGTCATACATTATAAAGTACATTTTTCCCTGAAAAGGTTCAAAAAAATCAATGTGGACTCTGTCGAACGGTGAATCGGTGACAGGCCACGACGTTAAGCTTGTTTTTGGAGGATTCTGATGATTTTTTAAACAAGGAATACAAGTTTTGATTGCTTCTTCGATGTCGCTGTCTATCCTGGGCCAATAAACCATAGATCGTGCTAGTTGTTTGGTCCTGGAAATTCCGAAATGAGATGAGTGAAGTTCAGCAAGAATTTTTTTTCTCAATTTTTTTGGTATCACAATTCTGTGACCCCAGGTCAATATACCTTTTTCATAGGAAAGTTCGTGTTTTCTGTTATAAAATTGTTTAACTTCTTCATTTTCCATTTTTGACCATTTTCCTGTTATCATGAAATTTATTACTTCTTGTAATTCTTCGTCCTCTCCTGTCTCACTTCTGATGTCTTCATTACTTATGGGCCATGTTCCTAAGTTTTCTGTGAAATTAATATATAAATCATCCATAGTTTCGTCCAAATGAGACTTCATTGGTTTTCTTGACAAATAATCTGCTACTGGATTATTTTTGCCTTTTATATACTCCATCTTATAATTGAACATTGACATAAAAGCTGCCCATCTTTGCAGTCTATTTGCTGCCATTTGCGGTATTCCTTTGTTTTCACCCAGTATAGAAACAAGTGGTTTGTGATCTGTTCTTATTATAAATTGCTTACTAGGGGATGCTAAATATGGGAAAAATTTGTTAAGTGCGAAATTTATGGCACATGCCTCTAAACAAGTAACTGAATAATTTTTTTCTGCTGGTGATAGAGTTCTTGACGTACACGTCACGATTTTTTCCTCACCCTTGATCATGTGGCAAAGAATGGCACTTAGGCCTTTTGTGCTGGCGTCGGTTGTTACAATTATTGGAAATTCAGGGTTAAAGTGTGCCAGAATCATGTCTGTCGCAATCACTTTCTTAATTTCCTGGAAACTTTGTTCACATTCTTGGGACCATTTATAAACTTTGCCCTTTTTCAATAGATCATAAATTGGGCTTAAAATATTTGCTAATTTTGGCACAAATTTGGCATAGTAATTTACTAAACCAATAAAGCTTCGTGTTTCTGACACGTTAGAAGGTCTTTCGGCTTCTACTATTGCTTTTATTTTGCTTTCCATTTTTTTTATTCCCTGATCACTAATTTTATAGCCTAAATAAATTATTTACTTTTCAAAAAATTTACACTTTTCTTTCTTTAAAGTGAAACCTGCATTTTGCAATCTCTCGAAAACTTTTTCCAGGTTCTGATTGTGATTTTGTTTTGATGATCCTGATACCACAATGTCGTCTAAAAAACTAACTACTCCATCCAGACCTTGCAAAGTTTGTTCGATTATTCTTTGAAAAATGCTAGATGCTGGTATTATGCCAAAAGGCATTCTATTTACTTTGAAAATTCCACGGGGTGTTGTTAAAGCTAAAATTTTTGACGTTTCCTCATCTACTTCGATTCGATTTTAGAGAAAAATTGGGCTTTGCTAAATTTGGAAAAAACCTCATCAATGTGTGGTAAAGGATAGCTTACAGGGTTCAAGAATTTGTTTACTGTTGTCTTATAATCCCCGCATAAACGAATGGATTTAAGATCCCCTTTTATGACTGGTACAATTGGTGTTGCCGTGTTGCCCAGCTGCTATGTTCAACCTGAGTTAAAACACCATCTTTTTCCAATTTACGCAATTCTTCATCTACAGCGTCTTGAAAAGCTAAAGGAATTGGCCTACTCTTACAAAAAACTGGCCTGGAATTTTCCTTTAATTCTAAAGTTATCTTTGTATGGACATATTTACCTAAAGTATCACTAAAAAGTTTGGGAAATTTCGAAATAATATTATTGATTTCTTGGTCCACTGAAATATTGTTAATAAAATCAATCTTAACGTTGAAATTTGTCATCCAGTCCCGACCTAAAATGTTTTCTCCCCCCGTGCGAACGACAAACATCTTATTTTGTTTAACAATATTTTTAAAATTTAAATAGGGAGTGAAAAAACCATCTGGCTCAAAAATACTACCGTTATAGCCTTTTAACAAGGTGTGGTCTTTAAATAGTTCATATTTGAAAAATATTTTGAAAATGTTTCATGATTGATAGCAGAAATAGCAGAGCCACTATCACACAAGAATTTAATTCTTATATCATTTAACAAAACTTCTATGCTGACATCCTTCCTAGAATCACCCTTGGACAAATGAGAATAATACATATCAAAAATTTGCAAGTTTTCTTCAACATTATCAAATTGAATTTCGTTTTCAGGGTTAATTATGTTTACATGTTTATTTTTAAAACAACTTTTAATGTTGTGTCCAGTTTTTTTACATTTCGAACACCAAAAATTACAAAAACCTCTGTGATATTTATTGCAGTATTTACATTTTATAAAAGAATTTGTACTATTACCTTGGTAATTTTGTCCCGATATCGTGGATCGTCTGTTGTTGTTTTGGTTTTGCCTTTGATGGCTGCCGCCATGTTGACGTTGGTTCGGCTGGTGCTGTCTCTGTCGGACTTGCCCATTCCACTGACCATGACCATTTCTTGAGCTTGCGCCTTGTTCACGTTGCCTTGATTGCGTCATTTCATGACCTCCACTTGCTTGCGGTTGCGCAGTGGTCGCATTTCCTCCTTGGAAATGCGAATGACGTGAATTTTGCTGAAATTTTCCATTTTTGGACATGGAAAAAACTTCGGCGAAGGCGTTTTCGGTTTTCAGGGCTAGAGAGTATAAATCTCCTAGCTCCTTTGAATCGTCTTCTTCACATAATCTGTCTAAGACTTTTCCGGGAGACAATCCCGTGACGAATTTGTCTTTCAAAATGGCCATCAGCTGGTTACCAAACTCGCATGTGGTCGCTGCTGCTCTCACACTGGCATACCAATCTACAACTGACAAATTACCTTGTTTAATCTGGTAGAATTTGATTCTTTCCCTCCAGATGCTCTTATGCACGGCGTACTGCGTCCTCAGGAGTTTGCCCAAATCTTCAAAAGACTTCGAATCGGGGGCATTCGGATAGGTTAGATTCTTGAGGAGCTTGAAAGTTTCTTGGCCTACTGAACTTAGCAAAACTGCTACTTTGATTTTTTCATCTGTTAATTGATTGACCACAAAATGCTGTTGCAGTCGCTCGGAATACACTTCCCATTCATCTACATCACAGTTAAATTCATAAAATCTTGGAATGCTTACGTTTGTAGTGCCATTGTTCGTCGCCATTTTCTAATTTGCACGTCGCCTCGTGGATTATTTAATGATTTTTTTCCATTAATCATGGGCTTTTCTTCCCGCAGATTTCGATTTACCTCGTCGCCAATTGTAATATCTCGATTGAGAGTTAAATAAATACTTTTATTTCAAATATATCACATTTTATTTTTATCACAGATTTAAAGGTATGTTGATAGTTTGGAGGCCGTTGCAGAAGAGGGCGAAAGTAATTCTTTTTGTTCGCGAGCGCGCAGTCTATCACGCATGTGCGTATAGCCTAATTGGTCGAATTGACCTCGGGCACAGCCCCCTACACTTACAAGCCATGAAGCTGGAAATGACGGCAACGTCGCGTATGGTGCTATTTTGTTATCGAGGTTATTGTTTCTGTGTATTGCGTTCATTGTATATTGTTGCAGTTTAGTATTTTTGTGGGCATTATTGACGAAAAAATGGATAGAAACACACCGATATATTGCCCATATTTAGTTGATACCTGTTCCTTTGTGCTTTGATTGCAAATTTTCAGCAAATGGGTACAGCAGCAAAAATGAAGGTAATGTAAGGTTAAAACAATAAAAACAATATTAATATTGTGCAAGAGCATAGGCCTCGATATATTACCTAAGATATTTAAACTTTTTTCCAGATGCCATGAAACTACTGTGTTCCTGGGTGCAAATCGAACTAGGAGTTCCTTAAAACCTGAAGAAATGCAAACATTTATTTCCAAAAAAATTCTGAAATGCAGAAGTTGTGGATGAAAGCAATACACCAAGATAATTGTACCCGAGATTGGCGAGATTATACCATAACGAAAAATTCTGAAGTGTGTTGTGAACATTTTGAAGAAACCGAAATAATTAGATTTGAAACAAACAAGAATAAAGGAG